TCTAGAGCACAACACTGACACCATTGCGATCAGATTACTGTAGTCCTGTAGCAGAAGACGGCGGCCACAGCACAAGGATTAAGTTCGGATGCTGCTGCCGCTTCAATGGATTAGTAGTTAGTCATTGGAAGTTGGTCGTTACTAGTTTAGTAGTTAGGTACCTGCTAAGCTTGGATCCTGTAATTATATAGGCATTCCAGAATTCCTTATAATTCCCAACTATCCCATGAGTTATAGGGGCGCCCCGATAACAGGCGTTCGCAGGCGTTCAAGAGCATTCGGAGGCGACGTTGGAGCTGTTTGTCTATAGCTGTTTGTGGTTCATGCATAAGTAGCATGTATCTATATAGACAACGTATGCTATTAAATCGCATGTTGTTTGTAATAGACTTATATGATTTCGTATATATGCTTGTGCAAAGTCACGTGATATGACGGCATATATATGTATATATACATATATATATATATATATATATTGTTTATACACAATATAGACATGTGTAGATCTATACACATTTATAATATACATACACGCACACCACCACCACCACCACCACCACCACCACCACCACCAGCATGGACTTGCAAGCTTGCTAAACTCGAGCTATATACATGGCAGACAGGACGAAAGGAGGGACACCGATTATCGACAAGATATGCCTTTTTCAGGATCGTAGTCCTCCTCGTATATGCATATAGGATGAGTCAGCCGCCCAGTGTTTTGAGACATGGGCTGGAGCGGCTGGATACCGCGATAATGATGGCCAGGCTGGCATGTTTTGAGTTCCGGCTGCAAACAGATCTTTACAAGTCAACATGTGGGCATTGCTTCAAACATTGCCGCTGCTTGGTTGTCGATCAGATCAAGCTGGGGTTTCGATCTTGAAGACATTTTGTCTAGCCTCCTGCCATGGCGAATGGATCTGAGGCCGGCAAGGACCCTCCCCAGTGTGAGAAGGGCAAAGGGAAGGGCAAGGAGAGGGTGGGTAAGTACTCCTTAAACGGATTGGCCCTTGCATGGGACAACGTCCCAACGATAAGGCAACGTTTACGAGAAGATCGGCATTTCCTCGTGCATTATGACAATAAGTTGAAGCGGGAAGTGTTTATGGCTCATGTCGAAACAACGATTTACAATGTACGAGCGAATAGATGGGCCTTGCAACCTTTGCTAAGCCTCATGCGTCACCACGGCCGGCTGCTCCCGTCGATCGACAGACTGATGGAGCAAGTTCAAGAGCTCCACAACACAGCAAAGGTGAACATCAGTGGAGATACGGTGTATCATCAAGCTTGGAGCCTGAGGGAGCTGCTCACGTTGCTCAAGGCTGAAGGTGCCCGTTGTACTCGCCCGGAGAAACCGAGGAAAGTGAAGGACCGTATTTGAACTATAATCCTCCCTGCAAGCTTGTGAAACACACACGCGCACTTACTTTTCCCATTCCTCGCCCACTTCCTGTGTCCGGCTAGGATCCGGTGATCCGTGAGATGCTGACTGACCTCGGCTTCGAGTTGGCGCCTACTCAGGACACAGTCCATTTAAAAACTAGATCGGATGTGGCATTATATTTACTCCTGTTGAAGTTGGGAGTCTTGGGCGAAAGATTGCTGAAAGATTGTATACCAAGAATTGCAAGTACGGGGTACATGCTACGTCGTGACCATGCGTGCGCAGGACAATCCGGTGCCTGCGGATCCGATGACGGCGGAGGCAACACCCCGCAGGGACTCGGTTGCTGTACAGATGCTTTGCAGTGATCGCGAGCTTAGCCGCAGCCCAATATGTGTCTGGAGACCATATTACGATGATTCATTCACATTTAAAATATCCTGTAGGCTTGCTATTGTATATACATATATATATATATATAGGTTTCGGGAACCAGAATGTCCATCAACTGCACGGTTATGATCTTGGAGAGTTTGGGGCAGGCTCCTGGAAAGCCAGCCGCGGGCAATGCTGGCGAGGCGTGCTATACGGGGGGCCGATTATATGTCAGATTGTTCGGTTTTTTTTGGCAGAGCTTCATGTGTCAATCTGTTTGTTGCTGCCAAACTCACCTATAATCCTGACCCGTATGAATATAATGTTCTATTATATATGTAGACGACACCGCATACGTTACCCCGATCCCGACAGAAGTATAGCCTCTGAATGCATCTTGCAGGTGGTGGCGGCTGTCAATGCCGGCAGTGCCGGCAGTGGCGAGAGCCAGGATGCAGTGATGCAGGCCGGCCTGACCGGGATATGTTTATAATAGGTGCTTCGGGTCTGGGCTGCAACAAACCATGTAGCAAAATGCCGCTCATTTGAAGGTCCAGTCTTCTGATGAAGAAATGCAGGGCCACTGCACGGAACAGCTGGCCCAAAGATTATCTGGGCTAATGCTACGCTTGCAGAAGCTTTGTGGCGGCACAGGTAGATAATCTTAAGCCTTCAATCGCATCACCACTTCATCAGTATGTTGTGTGTTTCCGAGTTTAAAACACTCACACTCAAGGACTGGGCTGGCCGTGCCTACACCTGTCCGGGGGAACTCGGAGCCTCCACCCCAAGCCCTGACGGCTCCTTTGCCTGATGCAGCTGCGCCGACTATCCCTTCTGGACACACACGATAAGTTATGTCATATTTGCCCCATAGAGCCCCCTATAGCCCACAAATGTAGTCGATCTTGAAGCGGATCCTGCAGGACACGGCTATGCTTTGGACACGGACAACACCTTCGTTCCTCAGAACAGCTTTGAAGACAGTCAAGTCCCGGAACCTGAGCCCGACACCCCTATCCGCCCGGATGGACAGATCTCTCTGGATGGTTCAGACCAGCCTCTGGCGGAGCAGGATGCTCCTGCAGTAGCGGCCACGCAGGCTGCAGCAGAGGTCCTCGCGAGTGAAGGTGCAACCTAGCTGGTGTATTATATATGAAAGTAGGTTTCTGCTCTTATCGAGAACATGTGGCATGGAAGGTGATCAGCAATCTCGTAACTCCATGCAAAATAAGGAGATGCCTGATCACGAGTTTCCGCCAGTCGAGGATGATGGTGAGGCCCTGACACGCAGACAGCAGATAGGGGGGAAGAAGCGCAAGAAGGATCAGAACAAGGCCAAGCTCGGGGGCCAGGCGGGCGAGGCGGATGAGGAAGGCAGTGCTGCCAAAAAAGGGCGCGGTACGGGCAGGGGTAGGGGCAGGGGCAGGGGCCGGGGTGTCATGAAAAAGCCAGCTGCAAAGCCAGTCAACCCGCCCCCAGCGGAGGAGGAAGGAGAGGAGGAGGATGGGGAGGAGGACGAGGAGGAGCAGAGTGATGCAGAACCCGAGGCGGATGATCAGCCGCCTGTGGAGGAAGCCGCGTCGAGCAGTGATCAACCGGCATTGCGCCGAGCCACACCGCTGCCAGAGGAGGGTGATCACGAAGTGCCAAAGGGCAAGGGCAGAGGTACAGGTAGAGGCAAGGGGAAGGGGAAGGGGAAGGTGCCCGAGCCAAACCCGCCGCCAACCCCAGACCCAGCAAGTGCCCCCTGGAAGCGCTCGGTGGCAGCTCGTGTGCGTGAGTGCTTGGAGGAATGCCGAGCCGCTGACCAGACGAATAAGCAATGCAAGCACACGCACCGAGATGTGGTTGCCTTTGATTCCAACTCGCAGTTCTCAGTGTATTGGTCTCGCTCCGCCGTCGGGGTCAAGACTCGTGCGAAGCTTACCGACAAGTGGGCCCAAGTCGCGTACTTCGCTAGACCCAGCCCGTGCATCTTGACGAACGTCGTGCTTGCAGAAGAGTGGGTCCGATTCTTAGAAACATGTGTCTACAGCGCCTACAGATCTATACGCTTACAAAGTCAGTTTCGTTGTGTCCGAGTTCCGTCTCTATTGTGAGGCGGTCTGTTGCAACTTGTATAAGTTTAAAATGTGTTCCATCAGGTCAAAGCATTGCGAGCACACCCACGTCGCACCCCCGATTCCGAAGAGATGTCTGAGCTGAAGGATGAGTTGGTCAACGTTCACAGAAATGCTGTGGATGCGTTCCTGTCAGCGACGAAAGCGCCGTAGACTTGATATGATTTGCTGCGCTCGCCCAGCCTATTCTGGGGAGATGCCCGTCCGGCAGCCTGCTCTGCGTACAGTGCACCGTATTTGTACATGAACATATCAATGTGCCGCTATAAACGTGTG